AGGAGTCAGACAAACACATTATTGGTAGCTTTTCTCAGAGTGAGTACATTGTATCAGGTTCTTAAATCCTTCCTTGGACAGATCAGTAAAAAGAGGCTGAAAGCATAGCTACACCCTTGCCAGGCTCTGAAAATACAAAGTTTAAGGCTGGAATGGGGAGAGGTGGAGCAGCACTGACCAGATCAAGCACAGTACTAAGCATATGGGCTACCCAGCTACTAAACAAGGGTGGTGAGGCCATGGGGCATGGTATGCATCATGTGAACCTATTTGTTCAGACCTTCTTTAGCAAGGTGGTCTATCTCACTGCTGTTTGAACACAACTGAGCATTTTGGCCCTGCGTCTCCTTCTTCAGAAAAATGAACTGCAGAATCTCCAAACAGGGGACAGTGAAGTGAGTATGGGTGACTTTGGGAATCTGCTTTGCTTTAGGCTGCATGACCTGCAGTACCAAGCCCTACCTACTTTGGGCTCTGGTGTCTTGTGTCTTGGGAGAATATTTAGTTCTTTGGCATCACAAAGCTGGTGGGAAAGGAATAACCAAGCATCCACCAAGCATTTGAAGTGTGTGGGATAAAAAAGCGATGTGTGAGGGGCTGCTGACAAGTGTCTGGACTGACAGAGATGACCCTCTGCTGCTGACAGTTGACATTCTGCAGACTGAAAGGAGGTGACCAGTTCTCTGGGGAAGAAGAAGTACAAAACGCAGCCAAAGATGAAAAGAAACTGAAGAAGCACCTTAAGGTCCCAGCTCAGATCTTGTGAAATCCCTTTGCACCAGGCTATATACAAAATGTACAGTGCAAAAGTGCCTCACACAGAGAAGACATGTGGAATGAGAAGGGAAAAGCAAGAAAACCAGCAGTTCCCTAATAACTCACAGGAAATTAGTGTCATAAGCAGAAACAGCTGAGTCTTAGTTCCTGCCCAGTGCTTTTTTACCTGTTTTGTCGTGATGGTCATTCCAAGATGCTGTAACAGAAGAAAGCAGAAATTCTACTACACGTGTTACTTTTGTTGTGAAAATATCATCAGTTCAGTTAACCAGAAATTATGGCCCTGCTGCATGCTTTAGGGTCAGGCATTCCCTCCCTCCTGGAAAAAGTGCCTTTCAGAAGGATGGCTTAAAAAAATGCCTGCCTGTCCCCAAATTGGCTGTTGTCAGCCAAGTGCCAAGTGAGGAGAGGAGCTAGAGACACAGTTTGAGAAGAGTTATGCCCATCCTCGTGGCCCCACAGAAATACTGGCTCCACATATGGCAGGAAATTCAGTGTGAGTTGAAGCTATCAGAGATGATTTAATTCTTTCTGAGGGCTCTTTGACCCCTTTCAGAGTCCCAGAATGAAGCTGAGGTCAGGGACTCTGACTGCTGGCTACTAGCCCTGCCACAGTTGCAGGAACAGCAGCTCATACCCATGTGATGTGGTTCAGTGAATCTCACCATAGGACTGACTGCCTGTCCCCATGTGCTCAGATTTCCCATCACCAGTGTCAGGGACTGAGATGAGGTACATATAACTGCATTGAAAGGGAAGATGTGCCTTTTGTGCACTAATTGATCTACCTCTTCTATGTGGACTTCTACATAGAATGGGCTGAATCACTTCACATTGAGCTAGAAGATCCAAACCCATTGATGACATTTCAGAGAAGTGCAGCCCTTGTCATAGTAATGGTAAAATCTCCACTGCTTTTATGCATCTTCCTTGCAGAGCTTAGTTTATCAGTGGTAACTCTATCTCTGCTTATTTTGGTGGTGTAGCTTTCACACACCTTATATTCAAGCAATACGTTTGCTGTAGAGCCATAACTTAATACGGTGAGGAAAGGGCCAGTCACCTTCAAGGAAGTCCTACTAGTTTATGTCAGCAAAGTATTTGGCTCTGTAAAGACTTCTGTTTATCAAAATATTGAAATTGTTTATAATTATATTAGATTGAAAGAATAAAAATATATTTTTTGTAATAATTTTCCTGGAATTGGTTTAGATATTCAAGTGTTCATTGGTCAGTAATAAAATTTTGATCATTTCAATGTCTGCAGTAAATCAAAAGCTTTTCTTCAGAAGCAGCAGCTCAGATGTTATAATTTTAAGTAGCGTTATAAATACACCCACTGTAATGACTGCAACATGACTTCCTCATATACACAGAAAGTAGCCATGATGATCGATATTATTCTTTATTGCTTTTGAATTGAAATAACTTTAGAAATGTATTAATATCTGCTATTACAGCTCAATGATTAATATATTTTATGGCTAAAAGGGGATTTATATCCGTTTGTCTCACCTCTTTTACAGCAGTTTATACAGTTTCCTTACAATAGTCTGTTCAAACAAGTGTACCTCACAGCTGGAATTTAGGACCTGTGTTTTATATGGTCTTTACCTTCCTTTTTTTAGAAAGCCCCTTACGATTAGCCAATAATTTGTCACTCTCTGTGTTCTGTCTAGCTTATATCAAAATTTCTGCTTGCTATATTGACTCCACCAAGGATTCCTTGAACACTTTTCTTCTAAACTCTGAGACAGGTATATGTCTTTAATCACAATATAATCTTCGTCAGTTGTAACTCTTTTTTTCTTTAGATGCTGACATGTTTTGTATCAATGGTAAAACAAGAACTCAGTATAGCCAAAATTTAATCCTAATTTGTATTAGTTGACCAGTATTGTTAGGCATCTGAATTCCCACAGTCAGGGCTTTCCAGTCACAAAGCCAGTGAAGGCATTCAAAGGCTGCATGACTGCATCAACAAGTAACTGGATTTTTTCTCTCAGACCTTAGCTACAGAGAAGTTTGTTATGCTCTGCTCTCATGAGACCTCACCTGGAGTATTGTGTACAGTTCTGGTATCCTCAACATAAAAAGGACATGGAACTGTTGGAACAAGTCCAGAGGAGGGCCATGAGGATGATCAGGGGACTGGAGCACCTCCCGTATGAATACAGGCTGAGGAAGTTGGGGCTGTTCAGCCTGGAGAAGAGAAGGCTGCGTGGAGAACTCACAGCAGCCTTCCAATATCTGAGGGGGGCTATAGGGATGCTGGGGATGGACTATTCATTAGGGACTGTTGTGATAGGACAAGGGGTAATGGGTTAAAACTTAAACAGGGGAAGTTTAGATTGGATATAAGGAGGAAATTCTTTCCTGTTAGGGTGGTGAGGCACTGGAATGGGTTGCGCAAGAAAGTTGTGAATGCTCCATCCCTGGTGGTGTTCAAGGCCAGGTTGGACATAGCCTTGGGTGACATGGTTTAGTGTGAGGTGTCTCTGCCCATGGCAGGGGGGTTGGAACTAGATGATCTTAAGGTCCTTTCCAACCCTAACTATTCTATGATTCTAAGTGGACGTAAAGCGTCTTAATTGGGAATTGGGTTAGCCTCTTCAGTCAAAACTGGCTAAAGAATCGTAAATAAGCTCTTGGCATTGCAAGCATTTCATCATCTCAACTTCCCAGTCCTGTTACTACCAAGCTCAGACCTTCTTTATGAGTTCAGCACCTCTAATTTGCTGCTTCCTTCTCCTGTGTCTCTTCCATGTGTCTAAAACTGGGGCATATTTCATGTATGCAGGCTTGATTCTCCAGAACTTAAGCACATATACAACTTGATGTAGCGTGGATTATTCCATTGACAGCAACTAGATAACTCATACATGTGAAGATGATTATATCTGTAAATATTGTTAGGAGAGGAACTTTAGTTTGGAAATTGCCTTCCTTTGGGTATGTGTTTGTGTGTGTGTGTGTGTGTCCCTTAACTTTCATTTGTAATTCTTGCAACAATTTATCAATTAGTTTCTCCATTATCTCATATGGTTTCTATGATTCTATTCTGTGTGTCACTAGACAAGATGTGGTGACCACTAGATTTTTATGTAAGTTATAACACAACCAAAGAAAAGAGACCTGTTCTGTTTCTACCCTGCCATCCAGAGTGCATATTAGTCGTGTGGTCATTTTTATCTTATAGAACATTTATTTTACCTAATTAAAATTCTTTAGCGTAACAAACCTATGCGATTTTTATAATAGTGATTGTAGCTTCCCACATAGAAATGTATTCAGAACTTATTCTGTGTCTCCAGTGGAAAAACCTGTCTTCAGAAATCTGTGGTGCCCTTCTAGCACTGTAACCCTAAGTAGCCCAGAATCTCAGGATGGAAAGGTGTTGCTAGTTGTATCAAATCCTATTAAAAAGCAATACAAGGAAAAATGAAGTATAAACAAGGTTTGCAGAAGCACTTTTAGAGAATTTTTTTTTTTTTTTTAAGTAATCCTTATTTTTACCGTTAAGGCTACTTTTGTTTTGCTGCAGACTTTTGCATTGTGAAAATGAATTGTGAGGAAAGAATAAGGAAACAAATTATCCAAGCCCTGAATTAGTGCTGTTATGGTTATAATTTCTTTTACTTCAGTTGGGTTTCCCTGGAACAGCTGCAAGGAAAGCTCTACCCTATTAAATAGCAGAGAGTCCATAGTACTAAAACCAAGCAGGTATGAGATCCTCTCTCTATTGGCAAGCAACTGCTAAATTGTGCTAAAGAACTCCTGGTATTTTGTTAATAAATATTTTTAGAATAGATTAAATATGATATAATTTTGTAGATACTTACTAAGGGCACATACATACACACACATATAAAAAATACATACATACACATACACATGTATGTATATGTGGGCACCTTTAAACATCTGTCTCAGTAGCTAGCAGTGGAATTTGCTGCATTCATTTGTGATTCCTTTGGGGCTCTGGAATTTCAGGATCTGACTTTTAATGGGGAATCTCTAGATGTATTGTTTCAAATGGTGGTTTAAATGAAAAAAAAAACTAAAAAAAAGCGGTGGCAGTGCAGCACATCACAATAGTAGGTTAAATATAGACATGGATTACAGAGCCATTGTTTTCACTCCTGCTAAATAAGATAGTGCTCTTAAAATGGAACACCACTTGACCTTTTGTGTCTCATCAGTCTGTGACTGTATTTAACTGATGCAGGGAGGAAACATTTTCCCCCTGGAACTGTCCCTTGTTGATATGACGATCACTGCTGCTGGGTCACACCATGCACAGGGGGCAGAAACTCTGCACTCCAGAACACAAGGGGGATCCTGCAGCTCATGGAGGAGCTCCATCCATGTCCCACAATGGCACACGCTCTTTTTTCAACTTCTCTCAACTTGCGCTTTCCTCTGGCAATCTCAAACCACCACAAGTGCTCAAACATTCAAAAATCACTTACTTTGAAGTGGAAATTCTTGATGTGCAAAGCAAGAAGCAGATCTGCATTGTGGACAAGGTGAGTATATTATTCCAGCATAGTGGGGATGTGCTTGGTTCACATGGTGCCAGTTCAGGGACTCAGTTTTCACTCTGCTCTGCTCATATTCTGTAACAGAAATACTTTCAGTATTTTCTCTGGGAGATACTAAAAACTTCTCATTAGTCACAGTCCTTGGCTGTTTTTCTCCAGGATTTTTACAAATAATCCAAAACAGGTTTCCTTGAGACCTCCTGGCTGCTATGTGGACTCAAGCAATGTTCTTAGGCTGTCTCTTGACACTTAGATGACTGTTTATTTCAGAACATGATACGTGAATGTCTACTTCAGAATGGATAATGAGTTTTGATACATTTGTAAAGTTTAGCATCTCTGCAGTGCTGTGGTTTCTTGTTAGTATCTAAATGTATTCTACTGTGCTCTACCTATCAGACTGGGCAGAAACCTGGCAATTTTAAGAGATTTTATTTTGAATCAAAGTGTTAAAGAGGCTTTTTAAAAAAAAAAATTGTGAATTTGAAAAAAATCTAAACTACAGTCTAATTGTGTAAGTAGGATGAGAGGACTGGGTGGGAAGGAAGTTTACAACACAGTAAAGAGCAGTTGAGAAAATGCTTCATAAATATTTTCATCATGGTTTTCGTGATTCGTTGTCCCTCAGCAGAAGAGCTGAGCTCTCGCGTGCCATGAAAATATGATTCCTAATCTATTTGGACTACAGAAATTTTCAGGAACATAATAGAGTTTTGAGACTTACTGTTTTGCTAGGAAAAAAATAAAAATAAAAAATTCCCTTATCCTCACTGGCAACAGCTGGAAACAGTAGATAAGTTGGCTTCAAATGTTGAATTTAATGCCTTTGAAATATGCTGGGTGGAATACTACCAGATTCCTAATGTTCTTGATTGTTTAAAGAGTGGTTTTGCTATTTGTATGCCTAAAGGTAAATGTCTCATTTGTTCATTCTTAATGGGGCAAAACAGTTTTTGAGATTTTTTTAACCTAGCCGAAAGGGAAACATGCACAAAATAGTCAAACAAATATGACGACTATTAGTACCAGTCCTAATGATAGTTTTTGCCTTATTTAATTTATTGAGTGGCATTTACTCAGTCATTAAAAATTAGTTATCTAAATACTATACTGAGTATGATTTCAAAAAAACCCATAGACTGCTTCTTAACTCAAGCTTTCCTATAGTGTCATTAAAAGAAATATATTAAAAGAAATAGAATTAGGCAAAGAGCCACATTTCAGGAATCCTTCCATGATGCATGGAAGAACTGTAGTCTGCTGGGACAATAGTAGACCTGCATTTTAATCTTTATTCTGAATTTTGATGGACCTGAACATTTTCTGCACCCTCTCAAAACCATGGATTCTGCCCCTGAAGTGGTGGAAAGAGAGTTACAAGTGGTGACTGTGAAGTACTGAGATTTCCAAGACTGCTTAAAAAGTTTGGATTCTGAATGCACATTCACCTGGTTGTATAAATCCCTTAATTTGCTGTGATAAGCCCTTCCTAAAACAACCCTGAAAGTACAGAAGTTCTGTACTTACATGATCACTTGTTAGTACTGGTGAACTTCAGTTTGTTATTAGAGCGAACGAGAACATTTTACTGGATTTTGCATAATCTTCTGCTTAATTAAGTATAACACTGATGTAGACCTAACATGGCACTTCTAAGGCCTGTTTTCTGTTTGTAAGATAATTATGAGGGTTGCATGTACTTATTACTTGTCAGGATTTAGAATAGAAGAGACTAGGAACCATAGATTTTAAAATGTATGTATTTGTACTCTTATCGTATTTTGTTAGTAGTTCAGACTATTATGATTTACCAAATACATTTATACATATACATTAATAAATCTAAAGGGGCAGACAACATTGTAACAGCAGAGAGAAGACTTCTTTCTCCACGTAATAGAAACTCAGTCAGAGTGACCAGATGGTTAATGCTATGTCATTAAATACCAGTTACTGCTTCCAGAGGGTTAGTTTCTATGAGACCCTTGCATATGCATAGTAATCCTATTCAGATTAGTGGAAGCTTTGTAAAATCTGCAAAATGATGATATATCTAACCAGTTTTGGTATTTAGAAAGAAAAGATATTTTGTGCTCAGTGCGGTGCGAGGGATTTAAAGAGGGGTGTTTGGCTGTTTGATCTCAAGCAATCAATTGACATCTATAGGCTTTGAATCCAGCATAAGTGACTGTGAATTAATTCTTCATCTGTAAAATGAAAATAACATTGTTTCCTTTGGCATTCTTATCCATCTTATACTTTGGGGAAGGATCAGTCACATTAAGTGAACTGAGTGGTTACTATAAGATGCTGCCCATCTTTAAGATAGGCTTAAAGGAACAGAATACATACATATTGCCAATTTTTTAAACCTGTAAGATACATTCACATTGTACTGTGGGCTTTTCTACTGTCAGGAAAGGCAGTAAAAAATTATTCAAAGAAAGTAGTAGAAGAGGAAAACCCCAGACATTTTGTCCCATAGTCATCCCCCCTTCCCCAGGAGCAGGGTCCTGAAGAAAAATACCTAATCTTGTAAAACTTGAAGTAAATTCAGAAGAGTCAGCAACACTGGCAGTTCATTTTACACATGCGTGCTTTGAACATAAGATTATTTATAGGACTATAATTGCTTTTATTTAATGTTGTCAACCTACTCTGGGGACTTTTTCTGTTATGGATATGACATTATGCTAGCAGTTTGGTGCATATGAGTTTTTCCAGTGAGTTACTTAAAGAATTTTAAAGAAAAATGAAATTGTGGCTGCCCCATCCCTGGCAGTGCTCAAGGTCAGGTTGGACGGGGCTTTGAGCAATCTGGTCTAAGTGTAAGGTGTCCCTGCCATGGCAGGAGGGTTGGAACTAGATGATATTTAAGGTCCCTTCCAACCCAAACCATTCTATGGTGCTCTAAATAATAGCAGTGTGAGATCTTTCCCCCCGCATTTGTTCTCAGTACAGAAATCAATTCTGAGGTGAGATGTCATGTAAAAGAGGCTTCAAATTTTGGGGATGGGGAGAGAAGGGAGGAAACACAAACATGTCTCAAAATGTTTTTCCAGTTACTCTACAAAATGTCCCCAGGCTGCTTCTGCCAGGACAGGAGGCACCAGTGATTTACAGACAAAAGGGGGCTACATTTGACAGCTGAAAAAAGGCACCAAAATGGAGTTAGTAGGGAAAGCTAATTTAAACCTCTGCTACAAGCCCATCCATTTGTCCTTAAAAGCAGTATATACATGCCCAGAGGACGCACACTGGGACTGTACTCAAGTGAACAGAACTATCCACACTCTGATCTGATGGCAGCAGGCAGACATAAGGCATTTACATTTTGAGGAGTGCTTTGTGCACTGTCCATGAGAGGGCAAGAGTCTGGGTATGTGGGCCAATTTGAATGAGAGAGTGCAGGGTCTTCCTTCCTTCCTGCCCAGGAAGGCAGATGTGTGTGCTCACACACAGCAGGGCTCGGCCATACACAGAGCCATGAGAGCCTGACCTGAGATCCTTCTACAGCCCAGGAGAGGATTTCTCAGAACGGAGAGGTCTTTACCCAAGCTTGCACAGAGCTTACAGGAGCTGGAGGCTGAAGGCCACAATTACACAAATTTAGCCAAGAAATTTGGCCCATATTTTGACAGTCAAGGGGTGGTAAGTAACAGTTGGGCATCTTCTGGGTGAATCTTCAGTCTCTTCAACATACACATCAGTACTGTTCTGTAGTGGAAACATGAATCATACAGATTTCTTGCTCAAGGTAGGAAAGAAGTATTCAGCAAGGAATACATCTCTTCTTTGGCCACTGTAAAACAGCAGGTGAACCTAGATGATCACTAGTGCCATTTTTCCTCACAATTTATTAATTTCTGTGGATGAAATCCCTGTCTGTCTGTCAAGAGGGTAGGGCATGCAATTAGTGATTTCTCGTTAAAATATTTTCAGTTGAAGAGAGACACAAAATGTCTAAGGATTCTGACTTCTGTATTACTTCCAAAAGTCTACAGAAAACAATATAACATACAAAATTTATTGTCTTAAAAACGAAAGAAAATAATACCCTTTTGTATTTCTTAACAAATAATCCACATTTTTCATCATCGGCCACAACTGATGAAAAATACATAGTTACTCAAAATCTGGTTTACTTGTGCATTATTCCAAAAAAGCCTGATGTAGGTTAGTTTTAAAATTACTGATGTGCTATGATTTGATTTATAAATGCTGTTAAGGCAACTCATAACTCTTTCTGTTATGGCATTCATTGTATAATGTTTTGGTTTTTTTTTCTTCAAATTGTAGTAAAAAAGTATTTTTCCACAAAAAATAGTGCAATGCAATTAATTTTACATGAGTTGCTTTTAAGGCAGAAAGTGTTACACAACATAGATTTTACAGAATAAATCTCCTGTGGGAAAAAACAGGAGGGAAAGCTTTTTCCCATCAAAAGTCTTAGAGCTCAGTAGTTTCATGCTATGCAATTTTGCAAGTTAAGCTGTAAGCAGAAGTGCAAGCTCAGGTTTTGGCTACTACGCAGTGGCTCTCCTTTCCAGAACACTTCTTAAGACCTACAGAAGAGAGCTTGCTTCCTAAGGTGTGCAGGAAAAACCTTTTTTTAATTGGTGTTCTGCAAATGTGATAGGAAGTAACTTCCAACTGTTCCTTAAAACAGCTCTCATGTACCCAGTGCCCTTTCCCACTGAAATCTTTTTGGAAAACCCAGTTACTGCTAGTTGAATATTTGTGGTTAATGATATACTGTAGCAACATTTAACTATATGTTTATGAGTGTAGATATGCTGTGCAATGCCTACAATGAAATGCATGTGAACATTGTTATTTTTCTTAAATTAAAGGACCCTTGCATATGGCCTGTGCTTTTGTCACACATTTTTTGTCACACCCAGCATAACACAAGTCTTTACATCAATTCAGTCATTTGCATATACAACTCTTCTTGCAGTTAAATATTAATAGAGTATATGTAT